ATCTGCCTTTCTCCTGAAGTGAAATTTTGGGAAGTAAAAAAAGAAATTGAAGGGTACATGGTTTTGCATTTATATAATATAGGTTGACCACCACTGAGAAAGCGGTTTTTTGCATGCTAGCTTTTAAAAAGAATTTTTCCTTGCTTTACATACAATCAATTATACATATTGTTTTATATATTCATATAGTTTTACATAATTACTATTGATCTATGCCTGTTACCACTGTCTCTTTAAGTCCCCAGTGCATCTTTCTTATTCTTTCACCCCCTCATCCACCCACAACCTCTACTTTTTTTAATGTGTAATTGCTTTATTTTCTGCATATTTGTGCTTTGCCAACACTATACCTGCAGAGAACACAACTCCAAATGATGATGATGTTGTTGTTATGTGCCGTCAAGTTGCCTGCGACTCATAGCAACCCTATGTACAATAGCCCTAAATCTTGCTTTATCCTGTGCCAATCTTACTGTCTCTGGCACACCTATACTCCAGTCACTGAATCAATCCATCTCGTTAAGGATCTTCCTCTCTTGCGCTGTTTCTCCACCCTCCAAAGCTTGACATCACTCTCCAGGGTTTGATCTCTCCTTGTAGCATGTCCAAAGTATGTCAGAAGAAGCTTCAGAATCCTTGCCTCCCGGGAGCAGCCTAAGCCTGTTTGTTCTCCTAGCAGTCCATGGTATATCCAACACTCTTCTCCAGCACCAAAGCCCAAAGACATCAATTCTCCTTCTAACATCCCTAGTCATTGTCCAGCTTTCTTATGCATAGCAAGTAATTGCAAACACTATGACCTGAATCAGGTGCACCTTAGTTTCCAGACTGACATTGTTGTTCATCTGTAATTGGAGAGGTCTCTGACAGCAGACTTTCTTGGTGCATTTCATCTTTTAATTTCCTGGCTGCTAGTACCAAGAGTGTTGATTGTGGAACCAAGCAAACTGAAAGTATTAACAATTTCAGTCTCTTCACCATCCATCCTGATGCTCCCAATTGGTCCAGTGGTGAGAATCTTTGTCTTCTTGACATTGAGCCTCAATCCATACTGAAGGCTGCACTCCTTGACTCTCTGCAGCAAGCGCTTTCAGGTCCTCCTCACTTTCAGCAAGCAGGGTTGTGTCATCTGCATAACGCATATTGTTGGAGAGTCTACGTCCAATCCTGATGCCACACTTCTCCTCATAGGGCCCAGCCTCCCAGATAATCTGTTCTACATACAGGTTGAAAAGGTATGGAGATAGGACACATCCGTTCCATACACCCTTTCCAATTTTGAACTATGCAGTGTTTCCTTGCTCTGTTCTGATGACTGCCTCCTGGTCTATGTATAGGTTTCACATAAGCACAATAAAGTATTCTGGGATTCCCATTCTTCTCAGAGTCAGCCACAGTTTGTTATGGTCTGCAGTCAAATGCCTTTGCATAGTCAACGAAACACAGATTTACATTCCTCTGGCACTCTCTGCTTTCAGCCAAGATCCATCTTACATTAGCTATAATATCCCTAGTACCACAGCCTCTTCTAAACCCATAGTACACTTCTGGAAGTTCTCTGCTGATGTGCTGTTCTAGTCATTTTTGGTTAATTGTTAACAGAATCTTGCTTGCATGTAAAATTAATTATATTTTTCAATAATTTCTGCACTTTGTTGGGTCACCTTACTTTGGAATGAGGACAAATACAGATCTCTTCCATTTAGTTGGCCAGGTGGTTGTCCTCCAGATTTCTTGGCACAACTAGGTGAGCACAACCAGGGCAGCATCTGTTTGTTGAAATATGTCAATTGGTATGCCATAAACTCCTGGAGTTTTTTGCCAATTCTTTCAGAGCAGCTTGAACTTCCTCCTTCATCACCACAGGCTCTTGCTCATATGTTGTTTCATCAAATTCTTCCATATCCACCAATTCCTTTTGATACAATGACTGTGTATACTCTTTTCATTGTTTTTTAATGCTTCCTGGATTATTTAATATTCTGCCCAAAGCATCCTTAAGTATTGCAACTCGAGCCTTGAATTTGTTCTTCAGTTCCTTGAGCTTAAGAAATGCTAGGTGAGTTTGACTCCTTTGATTTTCTGACTCCAGCTCTTTGCACATTTCATTATAATACTTTGTCTCCAGTGCTACCTTTTGAAATCTTCTGTTCATTGCTTTAATATCTTGAATTCTTCCCTCTGCTTTGTCTTCTCAGTGCTTGAGTGCAATATTCAGAGTCTATTCTGACATCCATCTTGGTCTTTTCCTCCTCCTCTGTCTGTATTTTTTCGCTTTGGGAGATCACAGTCTGCAGGCTCATTTACTTAGACAAGATTAACTTCATTCAGAACTTACTGCAGTTTATCAGCTCACATAAATGCAGAAGTTGATATGATTTAGTAGAAATTTCAAGACTGTATTTTCTTAGGTTATAATTTGTTTTTCTGCAGAGTATTGTTACCTGCCTTGTGATCACCAATAGAATGGTTAGGTTTAACTACATCAGTTATAAAGTTTTTTAAAAATATTTGGCAGCAGCCAATCTCTACTTTTAACACAAAGTTTTTATTGACTAAACGACTACCATTGTTGATAATTTAATATTTTTTTCTTAGATTCCAAAACTAGTTTTGATGGACAGTCAAAGCACAGAACTGCTGTTAGAGTCACTCAGGGTTGCCTTAAGGACTGTAGGTGCCTCTGTCCTCCCTCTGTGGTGGGGAGGGGATGGGAGGCCTGAGAGGAGGAGCACAGAGAGACCGGGAAGCCTGAAGAATATGCTGCCTGTCTCCACAGTCCATTCAGAATGGATAGAATAGGTCAGGGTTGACCCCAAAACAGAGATTATCTTTATAAAATATTACAGAGATGCTTAAAATGGATGCCTGAATATGTGAATGCTCTTTGGGTTCTCTAAGAAAATTTCTGTAAAGTTTAACTCCTGGGGTCTAGTAGAGGAACATGATGGGCCTTATCTTCTGGAAACCGGAAGGCTGTTAGTGACATGCATACAGTCCTTGGGAGCAGATCGCTCCTCTACTCAACTCACCTATTACCTCTGCACTCCTGCTTGCACCACCATTCTCACCCCACCCCATCCCAGCACACACACATTCACATGGTTTCAAGTTAAAATTTTCTCTGGCCTGGGCTCGAATTTCTTTGTTCTTAAGGATAGAGAGGGCAGAAGCTAAAATGGATATTCCATACTGGATTCATTGACTCTTCTAAGACTGAGGGGTCCAGGAATTTCGATCTGAAGCACTGGCAACAGCTCCCTATGGAAATATGACCATGACCAAAATGATTCTCAAACATTGCAGCATCTCTCTACCAGCCAACCACCCTTAGAAAGGTGGCAGAGTGGGAGTTTCAGTAAGATCCACATCATGTAGTATAGTCTGTCAGGGCTACAGAGACTAGATAAAGAAGAAACCCCAGATTATCTGAGTAGGTATGCAACAACCTTTGCAAAACCTAAACATTCACAGATGATAGTGTCTGCCAGGAACAGCCTAGATAAAGAAATTTAAATTCCAAGCAGTGAAGAAAGTGAATTAAATGAGTTATTGGGGGGGAACCTAGTGTGTACTAATTAATTATTCTTACAGTCTCGAGCAAGAAATTGTGCATTAGCATCAAAGAAACTCCAGTTATAAACTGGAAAAGCCAATAGTAGAACAGGAAGATATGCATCCTAGAGAACTGTGATCAAACTACATCAAAACTTGGCTCCATCTTTCATTAAGAATGGAGAGGTAATGAGTTAGGAGAACTGTACCCCTTTAAAAGTCCAGACATAAATAGACTTTCCAAAGAAACACTGTGTCTTTAAAACAAATACTACAATAGCCTTTTCCAGATATTACAGGTAGATTAGTGATTTGGTTTAACAAATTAATAAACTGCAGGTGCTCGTGCTGGTGCTAGTACTGGTGCTGGTGCTGGTAGTGGTAGTGGTAGTGGTAGTGGTGGTGGTAGTTGTTGACTGCCGTCAAGTCTAGCACGACACAGAGACCCTATGAACATGACCTGAACCATGTTCTATAACTATCGACGTTTCTCAAAGTTCATAGAGCTTCCAGAGGCATGTTGTTTAGGAAGTGGCATCCCTGCTTCCAAACTGCAGGTAATCCAGGGGGGGGAAAAAAGCTAAGAAGGTAAAGTCTCACCCAGACGGTGAAATCTGGTGGGCCATTTTTAAGTCTGTGCTTTCGATCTGTTCACTTGCCACCACTCACCATTAGGCAGCCATTTCCCCCTCTCATCCTTATTTTAAATTCTTTTCACTAAAAGAGAAAAAGATAAATATGAGAGTTTCTGTCAGTCTATTCAGGCATCTGCCTCTGGGGTACAGTTCTCCTGTGAGGGAAATGAAAGTATCTTTTCTAAGTGCATTGCCAGGGCTAGTTCAAACTTTCGTGTCTTAGTGGTAACAAGTTGCACTGACAAATCCAAGGAACTCAGTTCAAACCAACCAGCTGCTCCGCAGGAGAAAGATAGGCAATCTCTTCCCATGCACTTTACAGCCTCTGATAATCCACTGGAGAGTCAGCAATTGGTTCTGCAGTAGTGTACCACAACAACAATTCCATATACTAAATGAAGAAGCTACATTTTTACTTATAATGAGGGGGAGAAATCCTGATTATGCTCCTAACTAAATGTTTTCTTTTTTAGTATCTTTGTAAGAGTTAAGATATTACTATGATTAATACTGATTAGTCCAGGATTATACCCAGCCATGATTCTTGTAGGGCTCATGATAGAACATTTCCTGACCCTCTTGGCAAAATTTTTCCATTTTCATTTAATGCTCCAGAACTCTCTTACCCTGCTCAGCACTTAATTTAGTGATACCCGGGTGTCATCAATGATTGAGTTTCAAAGATTAATTAGTAGCTCTCCTATATATGTAGTCCAGAGAAAATATGGATTAATTCATTGGCTATTTGTTAAAATTAAATTCATTCATCTTTTTCTTTTTAAGTCAGGCATTTTTTCTGTATTTTTCCAGAAAGAACTAGAGAAGCAGAAGCGCATTGAGAGGAATCGGCAGTTGGAGGCAATAGCAAAAGAACATTATGAAAGGGTCCTGCTAAGGAAAAAAGGTTTGGAGCCTTGGAAAAGAATGAGATTGCAGAACATACAGAACATTCAGGTATAGTATCAACTGTTCCCTCGATTTTTTCAAATAGGGTGGCTCCCCAGTCAGACTTTGGAAAGAATTTGGTGATTTAAAAGCCAGAAGGATAAATTAATCAGCTCTTATTTCTTTATGACAAAACTTTAGATTTGGTTATCCAGAGTAACAAAAGATTGCTAAGAAAAAAAACTAGAGTTAAAGATTTACAAAATAAGATGAATAGAAGTTTCTCTCAATGTTATCAGAATTTTGAAAGAGAAAAATTACCACCATCAGATGTATTCAGTTTCTGCATGGACAAATTTGCTTATGATTCAGACAGTTGTTTCTTTTTTTACACTATTTACAAAATTCGAATACATTGTTTTTGAGAACAGATTCTTCCTACTTCCCTCACCACCTCCCCCATCCATCAAATTACACAATTCCATGATTAATCTCCCCACCTCCGTAAATCCTCATCCTTCTGCTTCCACCTTCCCCCACCCCCTTTGGATTCTTATACTCATTCTACAATAATGATTTTATACAATATTTGTCCTCATGTGACTGAGTTAGTTCACTCAGCATAATGCTTTCTAGTCCTCCCAAGTTAAGTAATAATTTACAAAATCATTGCTCCTGTGTGCTGCGTAGTATTCCATTGTGTGACTGTACCATAATTATTCAATCCATTCATTTGTGGTTGGACATTTAGGCTGTTTCCATGTTCTTGGCGATGGTGAATAATGCTGCAATGAACATTGGTGTACAAATCTTCATTTGAGCCTTGGTTCTCATTGTCTCAGTATATTCTAAGTAGTGGAATAGCTGGTCACATGGAATTTCTATGTTCAGCTTTTTTTTTTAATGTTCAGCTTTTTGAGGAAGCAGCAAACTGCCTCCCAGAATGGTTGTACTATTGTTCAGTCCCACCAACAATGTGTAAGAGTTCCTTTCTCACCACATCCTCTCCAACATTTATTACTTCCAGCCCTGTTAAATTTTGCCACAGTTACTGGAGTGAGATGGTACCCCATTGTGGTTTTGATTTGCATCTCTTTTATTGCCAGTGATTTTGAGCATTTCTTTATGTGTCTGTTTGCCATTTGAATATCATCCTCTGTGAAAATTCTTCATCATACGTGTGGGGGCCTTTTGTGGACTGAGTTCAGGTCTTTGTTCAGGCCTCTTGTTTGGGTTCCAAAAGCTTCTCAGCTGCTGCTTCTTGCAATGAAGGTAAAGAAGGACAAACCAAATGATGTGAGCCCACATGGAACCTATGCTTGCTTAGTTGATGTCAGTTAGCATTCCCATTAGCCAAAGCAAATCATGGGACTGAAGTCAAGGTCACTGAGGAGGTTCCACGAATTCCACCAAGAGCCACTGTGACGTTCTATTGTGACGAGTAAACCAAAACCAAACTGGTTGCCATGGAGTCAGTTCTGACTCATAGTGAACCCCTGGGAACAGAGTGAAATGGCCCCATGGGGTTTCTAATGCTTTAGTCTTTACAAAAGCCAACTGCCACATCCTTTCCTCATGGAGAAGCTGGTAGGTTTGAAAGAGCACTTCTAGGGCTCCTTATTGTAGAGGGCATAAATGTATAATCATGATATAAACAATAGTAATAAAGGAAATCAACCACCAGTGGAATTTCTGAAAATATCCTAACAAATGTATCCAAGATATAGGACAGTTCAAAAATACGGTCACGTAGTTCAAAATAGAAAATACGGGTTTAAAACTCTATATAACCATGAACTCATAGTGTATACCTATTTTGACTTAACTCTCATTTATTTGGCCAAATTAATGCAGAAAATTCAGACTTGTATTTGCAGTTAAAAATCAGGATGGAAGAAGAATAATGCTTCTGATAATAAGATCAAGCTAAGGAAGACCCTCAACCAGATAGGTTGACATGGTGACCATGGTAATGGGCTGGAGTGTGTCAGAGACTGTGAGGGTGGCATGGGATCAGATAGTGTTCAGACTGGTTGTTCATAGGGTCACAATGAGTTGTATTCAACTCGAGGGCACCTTCCAACAACCTCTGTAAATAGGACATAGCCAACCTTTATTCTCTTCATTCTCTTATTTGCAGACTTTATTTCCTTCTCTCTTTCATGCTCTCCACTGGTTTTCTCTCTCCTTCATTTTCTTGCCCCATCCTCCTTCCCAGTAGTTCTGAAACTGGAGTATTAAAGCAGCTGAATAGACCAAGTTGTGGACAGGACTGAGGGCAGGAGAGATCCATCCCAGTTGGGAGCCTAGGTCCAACTAGGCCCCAGGCCTTCACTAGTACGCTGTGTTGTGGTTTTGTTTTTTCTTTTTAGGAATGAGATAGATTGTTTTCTTAGTTCTCTGAGTCAATAATGTGGAAATTAACCTTGATCCTTCCTTTTTAAACTATGCCACCACAAAGATTGGTCATACTGGATCAACTCAGTGCACATTGTTTATGAGTTTTACTCTTTTATTTTTTTTTAACCCATTTCTATTAAGTCAGTTTCTTAATAACATGGTTGGACAGAGTAGAACTGAACAGTACAAGTTCTAAGACTCACTGGTCTATGCCAAGATTTCTGGCCAATTGATTAGAAAAAAATCCGTATTTATTCACATTCCCAAAAAGGGTGGTCCAACAGAATGTAGATATTATCAAACAGGCTGGATTTAGAAGAGGACATGGCACTAGGGATATTATAACTAATATTAGAAGGATCTTGCCTGAAAGCAGAGAGTACCAGAGGAATGTCTATCTGTGTTTCATTGACTATGCAAAGGCATTTGACTGTGCAGATCACAACAAACTGTGGCTGACTCTGAGAAGAATGGGAATCCCAGAACATTTGATTATGCGAAACCTATACATAGAGCAGGAGGCAATCATCAGAACAGAGCAAGGAAACACTACATGGTTCAAAATTGGGAAGGGTGTGCATCAACAATGTGTCCTATCTTCATATCTTTTCATCTATATGTGGAACAGATTATCTGGGAGGCTGGGCTCTATGAGCAGAAATGTGGCATCAGGATTGAAGGTAGACTCATCAACAATCTGCATTATGCAGATGACACAACCTTATTTGCTGAAACTGAGGAGGACCTGAAGCACTTGCTGTACATCAAGGACTGCAGCTTTCAATATGGATTGAAGTTCAGTATCAAGAAAACAAAGATTCTCACCACTGGGCCAATTGGCAGCTTCATGATAGATGGTGAAGAGATTGAGATTGCTTGGCTCTATAATCAACACTCTTGGTACCAGCACCCAGGGAATTAAAAGATGGATTGCGATGGGAAAGTCTTCTGTCAGAGACCTCTCTAAAGTATAGAGCAGTGGTGTCAGTCTGGAGACTAAGGTGAGCCTGAAACAGGCCGTGGTCTTTGCAATCACTTGCTATGCATCGGAGACCTGGAAAATGAGTAGGGATAATAGGAGAGCTGATGCCTTTTAGCTGTGGTGCTGGAGAAGAGTGTTGAATATACCATGGACTGCTAGGAGAACAAACAAGTTCGTCCTGGAGAGGGTGAAGCCAGGCTGCTCCTTGGAGGCAAGGATTCTGAAGCTTCGTCTGACATACACTGGACATGTTGCAAGGAGGGATCAGTCCTTGGAGAGGGATGTCATGCTTGGGAATGTAGAGGGACAGCGCAGGAGGGGAAGGCCCTCGATGAGATGGATTTATTCAGTCACTGGGGAAGTGGGGATAGGTATGTCAGAGACAGTAAGATTGCCAAGGGATAGAGCAGGGTTAGGGCTATTGTACATAAGGTTGCTGTAAGTTGCAGGCAACTCGATGGCACATAACAACAATGACGACGACAACATTATTAAAATCACATGTAAGTAAAATATTACTCAAGATTATTCATAAATAGCTAGAACAGTAAATCACCAGAAATTCAAACCAGATTAAGAAGAGCCTAGGGATATTAATACTGACGATGTAAGATGAATCCTGGCTGAAAGCAGAGACCATTAGAAGAATGTCTTATATCTGCTTTATTGACTATGCAAAGGCATTTGGCTGTGTGGATCAAACAGAGCCAGGCAACACTGAATGGTTTAAAATTAAGAGATGTGCATCAGGGATGCGTACTTTCTCCATAATTACTCAGTCTGTATGCTAAGCAAATCATTCTAGAAGCTGGACTTTATGAAAAAAGAATGTGGCATTAGGATCGGTGAAACCTGCATCATGCAGATGACACAAACTTGAAGACTTAGAGTCTTCAATATCAGTTACATCTGAACATCAAGAAAACAAAATCTTCACCTGTTGACTGGGTCAGCAGGCAAAATTGTGAAAGATGGAGAAAAGATTAACATTGTCAACAATTTTACCTTACTTGAATCCACAGTTAACCCTCTTGGTACCAGCAGTTAGGATATGTGCTAAAAAGTAATGTTATCAGCCTGAAGACCTGGCTTGTTAACCTGATCCAAGCCATGGTCTTTTCAGTTACTTGCTGTGCCTCTGAGAGCTGGACAATGACTAAGGATGACAGGAGAATTGATATCTTTGTGTTGTGGTGTTGGAGAAGAATATTAAATATCCCAAGGACTGCCAAAAGAACAAATATGTCTTGGAGATAATGCAGCCAGGGTGCTCTTTGGAGGCAAGGATGGCGAAACTTCGTCTTATGTACTGTGGGCATGATGTTACGAAAGGCCAGTCCTTGGAAAAAGACATCATACTTGGAAAAGCAGAGAGTCAGTGAAGACCCTCAACAAGATAGATTGGCACAGTGACTGTAACATGGGCTCAAGTATATCAGATAATGAGGATGGCATGGGATGGGGCAGGTTTTAGATTCATTGTTCATAGGGTTGCTATGAGTAACAGTCAACTCGACAGCACATAACATAGATGCCAAACACAAGTTTCAAGTAAAACGAAGTAAAATGAAACTGCTGGGAGACAGTGACAGGAGGTGACAACTCCTTGCCTGATGAGCATTGTTTTCCAAGTGATAGGAAAAAAGAATTAAGAGGGGCCAGTTCCTGGCTTATTTGTAGCATTCTCCCTTAAATTCATCCCTTAAACTCACACACATTCCATGCAATCATTGTCAGAACTCCTGACAGACCTTAGGACAGTCTTTTTCATTCTGCTTCTCTATTTTCCCAGAGGGTGAAGAGGAGGGAAGGTAGGAGGCCATGTGTTCCTGGCTCCACTTGTCTTTTGGCTCCAGAGTCGGATGAGTCAGGATGAAAAGCACTCTCGGGTGCACAGGGCCCCCGTGATGGTCACTTTGACCAAGGTTTGCTAGATCGATCAGGTTCACGTTGCCAGATGGCTAGACAAGACTTGGAAAGATATCAGATTGTCTGGTGATGACTGAGAGAAAGGATTTTTCCCTCTTATCTCTTAAAATAATATAGCTATTACTTTTTAAAATCTATAAACCATGAATTGTGTGTTTAATAGATTGATACTCTGAGCCTTTTAAGTTGGTAAGACATTAAATTATTCATGGTATTATTTTTTTTTTAATCAGACGGTTTTGTGGTTTATGGATAATGTCTAAATTTTCATGCCACTGACAGCTCGTTCTACAGCACTAATTGAAAGTGCTGGCATTTCTTCACTTAAGATAGTGGCAAAGCACATCATGGAAGAAGGTTCACTGTGGAGTTGTTCAAGGTCCAGGAGAACAAGCAGAAAAGGTTGCCCACTGCCTACTCCCCAACACAATGAAAGAATGGCTTTGGGGGCTGTTTGTTCCATTTCCTTGGTAACCTGCCAGTTATCCTGGTTTTGAAGGAATTGGCATAGAAGTGCTTTGTATCAATCCCAAACTCCAGTACAGTGTGGCCAGACATCAAAGCTTTTAGGGCACAGCCTCATATACCTCAAGATTATTCTTTCTAGTAATATGTGGTTTTATATAGGAGCTGGTGCCAACATGAAATGAGTTGCCTTTAATTATTTAAAATTGAAAGAGTAATTTCCTTTTCCCATTTAAAAAATTGTCCAGGTGGCCAAAGAACATCACTCTTCGGCATTACAGAGGAAATGCCTGCTGGCCTGGGTGCAGTGCACTCAGGAGAACCTGACTAGAAGGGCTGCCCAGGCTGATCAGGTCTATGCCCACAATCTGCTTCAGAGAGTCATCAGGGGCTGGCTGCAGGTGAGTTCACTGGGAAGGGGGCCATGAGCACATCGAAATGCAAAGGCCTGGCTCAGAAAAGCTGGCAGAATCCAGCAGGCCTTGGATATCTTCAGGGGGGGTTTTGAGGGGTGTGTGTGTGTGTGTGTGTGTGGGTGGGTGGGTGGTTTGTAAGAACAACATAATCAGTCCAATTTGTGGCTCTGAAATGAATTTGGAAATGTCAGGTTTTTGTTAATAAAAAAATCTTAAACAAATGTTTAACAGAGTGATCATCTGTATCACCATGATGCATCAATTAGATCAGCTTTGTTTTTATACTCATTTCTTCTTCTTGTCCCATAATATTCCAGTAATTTTACTAGCAACCTACTCCCATAGTTCTACAACTGTTTCCACCCCTCTGCTTCTGTTACTGTTTTTTTAACTACATTAACAGAGCATATTATCTTGGCTACCATGTTATTTCTCTTTATGCTTCTAGTTTTGTTTTCTGTTTCAGTTCTCTTTCATTTTAATATGCTGTGTCTTCTAATATTATTTCTCATTTCCCAGTACCTGACTGATCTAGAAAAAAAAGCAAGGAAATTTTATGAACATTTTCTCCAGAAGAAGCTTTTCAGGGCCTGGCTTAACACGGTCAGAGAGGCCAAGATTGATTTTCAGAGCAAGTACAAAATTGCAGAGGAGCACAGTAACAGGTAACTTTTCTAAACTTTTCATTTCCTTTCCAAAGAAATTCATTCACTAGGGAGATCTAGTGGCCTAGTGGGTAAGGAGCTGTGCTGCCAACTCAGAAGCACACAGGCCAACATCTCCCAGCTGCTCCGCACGATAATCTCTCCCTGTGCAACCTACAGCCTCGGGAAAACTCTAGAGGGTCAGCTATAAATCAGCCCCAACTCAATGACAATAAGTCTGAGGGTTTTTAAAAGAGATTCACTGATTTCACAACTACTCTTGTGGTGCTTTTTCACCTGGAATGTGAGGAGTGTGGAGACTGTGAGAGCCAGTATTAAGAGACACCAGGCAGGTTGGGAGTCTATGAATCAGCCCCAACTCAACAATAAGTCTGAGTGTTTTTAAAAGAAATTCACTGACTTCCTGACTACTCTTGTGGGGCTTTTTCACCTGGAATGTGAGGAGTGTGGAGGCTGTGAGAGCCAGTATTGAGGGAAACCAGGCAGGTTGGAAGTCCCAGAGCTCATCCTCTGACTTACTCTGGTGCTGGCAAGAGAGTAAAGCCACTGGACTGCCAGGGTCCTGTCCTCAAAATGCAGAGAAGGAAAAGGCATGTGCTAACCCCCTCACAGACTGTGAAGAAAGAAAACGTAACATGCATATAACATAAGCAGATGTACTATACATTAGTCATATTTTTTAAGTTAAGGTTATTTTTTTTAACTTTGAAAATATAAGCAACACAGCACAGAAAAGCATTTAAAGCCTATATAATGATTTTTAAAACTTTTAATTGTGGTTTCAATGAAAACTTGGAGCAAGTTAGTTTTTTCCCCCATTCAACAAATTGTACACACTTTCCTTTGTGACTCTGGATGCAGTCCCTCGCAGGCCTCACTCAGCACTTGACCTCCCTCCTCCCTGAGTTCCCATTTCTATCATCTGTCCGTCCTTGCCCTTCTTTTCATCTGAACTTTGAACCTGAGCAAATGCTACCCCATTTATCTTATATGACTGATTGTATGGAGAAGTTAGGTTGTGTATGTCTGATTTGGCTGAGAATTGCTCCCAGGGGTGGGTTCAGTTCACTAGTTGCCTTTCTGTAGACAGTCATACCAGTGAGTTCACTGTTTGCCCCCAGAAACCCCCACAGCCCCTGCCCATCACAAGACCCTCTTCCTCCCATAAGTTAACTACTCTACTGACTGCTGAGAAACATGTCATTGCCTTCTTTAACTTCAGCACTAGAGTTCTGCCTGGCTTTGAACTTTATAGAAGTAGAATTATAACTGATGTCAAATTCATATTTATATTACAATGATATATTTAATTATACATTTTTGAGGAATAGAGCATTCCATATATCTAAATGCTTTACCAATTTTAAGCGTTTTGGATATAAACTTTAAAACTCATTATTCACATCCCTTTGAGAATAAAAAAAGTTGATCACCTGCCTGTCTGTGATGATCTGAGGTCATTCGTGTGCCTGTCAGGTACTGTGGAAGGCGTGTGTAGTAATGCCTGTGTCCTTACACATGAAGAATATTGTGCATGTGTAGACATGCCCCTTTGCAGATATTCTTTCTGATGCTGTTTTCATTTGTATGTGTTGCATGTCCTCTGTTCTGTAGCCTGTGCCACTAGAGTGCTCACACCCAGGAAAGCTTGCGCATCTCTAATTTGTACGTACTGAAAATCCATGAGGTGGGGAAAACATGAGAGCGCATTCCATCATACTTCTAACTAAATAGGCAAAGAGTGAGGATAGTCGGAGGACTTCAGTTTAAAGAAAATAGGTGATCTTTAGAGTTTGATGTTTATGACCCAGTGGATTTGTAAACCTGAACAAGCAACTTAATCCATTTTTTAGTTAATTTTTTGAGTGATGGCAGCAACTTAAGGAGGTTCCTTCCAGTTCTGTTCTGTAAAAAGAAGAAACAAAAGTATCTTATGGGACTACACAACACAGTTACTCATTTAATGCTTTGTCTGGCAAAAAAAAAAATTAGGTGATCTTTTGTTGTATAATGTTCTTGTTGTTAGATGCCACTGAGTACAACTCAGTTACCTTTGAACAGATCTGAACCCTGTTCTGTCCTGTGCCGTCTTCATCATTTCTGACACCCTTGAGCCCATTCCGACAGCCACTTTGTTGGGGGTCTCCCTTTCTCTTTCTCCACCTTTCCAAGCGTGATATGTCTCTCCTTTTTGCCTGCCTTTGTTTCATTTCTCAGCCAGGCTGGGCATTCAGTTAGGGAAGCAGACAGGTCTTGCACAGGTGGTCAGAGTGAGCTTTCACACAGCTTATCTCATCTGATCATAGTGTAGGTAAGCCAAAGGGAGAGAAGGCACTGTTTCCATTGTCAGGCAAGGGAAGGAGGCTACAATCAGTTAGATGAATTGTCCAAGGTATACAAATAACACATGACAGAGCTTAGACTCCAAATCTTTTTATTATGAATACTACACAATTCTTCCTCAGTGTTTCATTCTTGGCATAGTAGATCATATGATCAATTGTCTTGATTCAGAGCGGCCCGTGCCGTCCATTTCAGTTCACTATGCCTAAGAAAAAAAATGAGAAGGACTTGAGGCACCTGTTGCAGACAATCAGAGAATACAGCCTTCAATATGAATTGCATCTCAATGTCAAGAAAACAAACACTCTTACCATTGGATCAATAGGCAGCATTGTGATAGGTTGAGAAAAGATTGAAACGGTCAACAACTTCATCTTAGTTGGATCCACAATTATCCTCTTGCTATCAGCAGTCAGGAGATGTATTACACTGGTAAAGTCTGCAGTTAGGGACCTCTGAGGAGTAATGGTGTCAGTTTGAGGACTAAGCTGCATCTGATTCAGGCCATAGTCCTTCCAATCACTTGCTTTGCATCTGAGAGCTGGACAATGAATAGGGGTGACAGAAAAGAATGGACACCTTTGAGCTGTGGTGTTGGAGCACTGGACATCCAAAAGAACAAATACGTCTCAAAGAGGGTACAGCCAAAGTGCTCTTCAGAGGCAAAGATGATGAGGCTTCGCTTCACATACTTTGGGCATGTTGCTAGGTGGGGGCTATTCCTTGGACAAGGACGTGATTCTCAGAAAAGTAGAGAGTAGGCAAAGGTGAGTAAGATCCTTAACCAGCTGGACTGACATGGTGGCTGCCACAACGGGCTCTACTGTGTCCGGAAGTGTGAGGATTGCAGAGGATAGGACAGGGTTCAGGTCTATTATTCATTGGATCCCTATGGATCGTACTCAACAGCATCTAACACCACCACCCAGAATGCCAATCTTCTAAGTTCCATTTCATTTTTGACAACTTCCAGTTTTTTTACATTCATCCTTTGCACATCCCACATTCCAATTAATAATGGCTGGCTGCAGCTGTTCTCATATTTGAGTGACTTCTCATCTGAGCGCTACCTTTTATACTATAGCTACCTGCCTCTCTCTCTGGGTTTTCAAAGGTCTGTTATCAAATGTTGTTTCATTGACTACACAAAGGCATTTGACTGTGTGGATCACAACAAACTGTGGCTAACATTGAGAAGAATGGGAATCTCAGAACACTTAATTGTGCTCTTGCAAAATCAATACCTAGACCAATAAGGTGTTACCTGAACGCAACAAGGAAACTGTATGGTCTCAAATTGAGAATGGTATCCATTAGGAGCATATCCTTTCTCTATACCTATTCAATCAGTATGCTAAGGAAGTAATTCATGAAGCTGGACTCGCTGAAGAATGTGGCATCAGGATCAGAGGAAGACTCAACAACCTGTGCTATGCAGATGACACCACGTTACTTGCTGAAAGTGAGGGGGACCTGAAGCACGTGTTGCAGAAGATTAAAGACTACAGTTTTGACTATGGATTGCATTTTAACATCAAGAAAACAAAGGTCCTTACCACTGGACTGATAGGCAACATCATGATAGAGAAAGGATTGAAACTGTAAATTATTTTATCTTGCTTGGATCCTTAGTAAGAACCCTTGGTATCAGTAGTCAAGCGATAAAGAGACACTGCTTTGGACAACTCTGTTGTTCAAGATCTCTCCAAAATACTGAAGAACAGTGATGTCCGTTTGAAGACTAAGGAGTGACCGATTCAGGCCATGGTCTTTTCAAATACTTGCAATGCATTTGAGGGTGGACAGTGAGTATGAAAGACAGAAAAAGAATTTATGCCTTTGAGTTGTAGTGTTAGAGAAGACTATCCCATGGACTGCCAAAAAAATAAACTGGTATGTCTTAGAAAAGGAGCAGCTAGAATGCTATGGCAAAGCTTCATCTCTCATACTTTGGACATGTTGCTAGGAGCAGCTATGCCTTGGAAAAGTGTATCATACTTGGAAGCGTGGAGGGTCAGTGAAAGAGAGGAAGGCTCCCATCACGATGGATTTACATGTTGACTGCAGCAGTGGAGTAAAGTTATCAGAATCAGTGAGGACGGCACAGAACTCAGGTCTGTTGTGATAGTGTCACTGTGAGTCGTCCTTAAGTGGATGGCACCTGACAAAAAAGATTCTAAACCAAGGATTCTGGGCTCCCCACAGTATTCTTTCTTGTTTTAGAAAGACTAAGGTTTTCCTCCCCATTTTTCTAATTCAACCTATTTTTTAAATTATAAACTATAATAGTGAAAGAGTTTGTTCTGCTCAGAGTTTGAAGTTTTGAAGTCAGAATGGGAACTGTGCATTCAGGAGATAAATTTTCAACCGGTATCTACTTCATGAGAAATCATCCGGTGACTTCATTTCCCACTTGCTCACAGTGTTCCAGCCCCAGTAGCCTCCTGCAGTGTTCCTCAGACAGGCAGAGCTAGCTCCAGTTCAGAGCTCTCCATGGCCTGGATCTTCCCTGGGCATTTCCGTCCTCCTTGCTCGGGTTTCTGATCAAATACCACTCCCCCAACCAACCTACCTCAAAGCCCCATCTAGTAAATCTCTATTTCTTGAGAATACTGACAGCACTATGAAATGGCTTCTCTTTTGCATAGGAAATTGCATCTGTTTTGCATATTTATCCTCTCAGTGTAGAAGCACCACGTCTTAGCCACTGCGCTGTGAGCCGTCAGCACCCACCCAGTGGGTTGTTTGGTGCTTGAATAAATTTTATGAATTCCTAAGTTTAACTGCAGGATTGACACAAGTATTTGAAGCCACAGCTCTTTTAAAAGGAACTTTAGCATTCAATAATTTGAGTACTTGCTCTGTTTATATGAAGAATATTATACAGAAAAGCTGAAAGGGAAGGAAGGAGAGACATCTATTGGCCTTAGGTCTGATCTTTAAATTGCATTAAGATGAATCCTAGTAAGAAAAAGGAAGCTTCATTTTACTTATCTGTATTGCTTTTAGATGGTGCTACACACCTGGCGTTTGCACGCAGTGGGGCCAACAGAAGTTCCCACGCCATGGTCTTATCAGCAGCAGTCATTTTGCAGTTCTACAGCCAGAGCTTGGCTACAGTGTCCTTTTATTCCCAGCTGAACCAATTCCACACAAACTTGATTAAAAATACTGTAGGAACGGAAAGATAGGTCCTTTTTCTTTTTTTAAATTTTATTATTTTGTGTGTGTACCATCAAATCGGATCTGACCAGTATAAGAGGAGATTGCCCCTCCTTCACCAGCAGAGCATCTGGTGGATTTGAACCGCATACAGCGCAACTTCTTGCCACTAGGCCACCAGAGCTCCCTGAGAGGTCCTTTTTCTAATGCTATGTTGGTTTGTAACTGCTCTGTGGTCAAAGACCTGAGGTAATACTGAAAGCCACAGGGCTGCAGCCCAGGAAACACCTATGAACATCACAAAGCGTTTTACCCAAGACTTCAAGGAGTGTATGGACCCCAGGTTAAAAACCTTTACCTTTGTGACTTAAGTCTTTTTCCACAAAAACCCCTCTATATAAAATTTCTCAAGGTGTCTGTCAAGCATAAATAATACTGAATAATATGGTCCCTGGACTCATAATTTATAAATTATAATAGGTTAAGTAGATATATACATACATACAAGCACAGATACATACAGAAAGGAGGGGAGAAAAGAAAGGTCAAAAACTCATTGCCATCAAGTCAGAACCAAGCCGCAGCTGACCCTCCATTGGGTCTCTGAAGCTGTAAATCACAAAGGAACTGCCCATCTTTCTCCTGTAGAGCTGCTGGTGGATATGAACCGCTAGAGTTCAAATCCAAGCCTCTGGGTTAGCAGTGCAACTCACTATATAGACAGAACCACCATAGCTCCCTAGAGAGAGATAATGGAGTATAAAGAAATAATAAGCCCATGATTGTGGCCATGTGTTTTCACAGCTCAGGAAGGAAGGTCCATATTGGAAAGGCTATCTAGGAAGATTTCCCCAAGGAAGCAGAGCATTTCTGTCAGGGGGAGTTAAAATGTGGGCGTCAGAAAGGAGAAATGTAGCCAGATGCGATGTGAACAATTGGCCTAGAGGGCGGTAGGGTCAAGGAAGGGGAGAGGGCCATACAGCCAAATTCCAAAATCCGAGTCCTACTCCTGGCAGCCCTCCAAAGGGTTTCTGAGGCTGTCGATCTTTATGGGAAGAGCCTACCCATCATTCTCTTAGAGCAGTTGGTGTATTCAAACCACCAACTTTTGGGTTCACAGCCTAGCAAAGAACACACTGCTCCACCAGGGCAGCTCAGATGGATGGGAGACGGAAACAAATAAAGGAGCTCCACTTCTTGGAGCTCTTCTTTAAAACTTCACTCTACCAACAGAAGCCAAAAATTCCATAAGACTAATGACTGAAATGCTAAAAAGTCTTTTTAAACAATATACATCCAGGCTCTGAGCCCTGGGTGTGTGCAACAGTACACGCTGCACGAAGTGTGTCCTGTAGCTTTGCCTGAGGGGCTGTGGCTGCTCGGCTCCTGCCAGGATTGTCATTGTTGGCTTGGGCAACTTACAAGCCGGGTCAAAACTGAGGAGTGTGTCTCATGACCCACAGGATCAGAGGCTAGGAGGGCTTCAGATAGCACCTTCTCAGAGGGGGTTCCCCTGATGACATGGTTCAAAACAAAAAAAACTGTCAATCACTCTCATGCCCCTCTCTTGTTTATTTTCTTACAAAACTTTTTTGCTACCCAACTGTGATTTCCACATACTTTACTCACATGATTTTTACTTATAAATTTTGTGACTTTCAGATAGAAACTGAAACTTTTCCTTAGCATTTCACTATTTTTCACATCTTTTTCAAGGCGGATTTCCAGGGCCATATTTCAAACATGGAAGCAGTCTGCAAGACTTCTGAAAGAAGAAAGATTAAGAGAAGAAAGGAGAGACCAACTCCGTAGGAAAGTAGCTGAAATTCTTCCAGACTTCCAGATGTTGGCACCACCGTAAACAGTAATCATGCCCTCCGCCTGACAGTCAGCACATGTGTAAGATAATCCTTGGTGTGCCAGTACCAGCGGGAGGCGTCCCCATCAGTTTGATCTGTATATTGTCACTCCTCAGCCATTTACATATGGAGATAGACAAACTTGGTTGGTTTTCTGTCACATACCTCTTGGCTCAAAGGAGCTACTTTAGAAATTTTATTTCCTTCTTAAATTTCTCCTAGATTGCTAATCGGGGTTCACTAAAGCCTTTATCACAATGGGATAATTCTAAAAGAATAGCCTAGGTCTTCACTGTTCAACTGCATCCTATTTATTTTTAGCATAATATACTTTAAAAAGAACAAGTATTAGCTTGCCTGAGGCTGTGAAAGAAATTATGTGTGCCCTTAGAGCTTAATGTTAGCTATGATAAATGTTACCTTTAATAAGATATAGATGAAAAGTAATGAATAGTAAAAAAAAAATAAAAATAAATAGCAGGTCTGTCCACTAGTAGTATCAAGTCCAAGTACGCCATCCTCTTGTTTGACGAACAGAGGATATCCTGAAAAGATTGCTGTGAAAAGGAGCACAGCTTATCCTGACTGAAGAAAAACTGGGACACCCAACACACATCTCGAGTACACCTCAGTGAGCATGGGTATAGTCAAGAAGATAATCCTGCAACTCATTACAATATCTGCTCCTACTCCTAGTTGCATTTTCTACGTAATACTCAAGATCTGTCTTCTGATCTAGATACTGACATTTATTAATTCAGAGTACTACGGAGTAGAAAAGACTGATAAAATTATCTCTTCTGTGAACTTAGGACCTGCTGGAAAAACTGTCTAAGCAAACACATTTATTTCAACAAATTCTCGTAGTCCAGAAAAGTAGTCAAAGAACTGTACACAGCAAAAGTCAGTCCCTGCTAGTCCTGAGGTAACAACTATTGTGTGATGTGTTGAAAATCTGAATTTGTAAATAAATTTTTTTTCATTATTATTTACGAGGTCTGGTTAATTTGTTTTACTTCGTAAAAGGAGTATCTAGCTACACCACCTGCAGAATTACTTCTCTCATTTTGGGTGGAAGAAGCATAATTTACTCAGATTTGGCAACACCAGACTGAATTTTATTTCTATATTATCAGAACAGAGACATATCTTTTCCTTTAATAACTATACAATTATGGTCTTGAAACATACAAGGAAAAAAAACCAAACATACAAGGGATCTTTTTTTCCTTAAAACTAAAGGCCACTAAAGAAAATGGGACTAATTTATTACTTTCCATCTAAATCAGTATTTCTTTACACTTAACTCGACATAATAGGGAGCTCTGATGGCCTACTGATAAGGAGCTGTGCTGCCATTTCAAAGACACACAGTTCAAATCCACCAGCTGCTCTGCAGGAGAAAGATAGGTAACCTCCTCCCATACTATTAAACTGCCCCTGAAAACCCAGAGGAGGGTCAGCTATGGGTCAGTTCTGACTTGACAGTACACTATTAACAGTACATTATATAGTACTGGTTGATAGTATCTAGAAATCGGATTCCAATTTTACTTTAATGCCAAGTCTGTAGACATAGTGGTAAATCTTTTATGTAAACATGATGACAGGGACCTAAAGAAATTCCTTCAAGGTTAAATTCTCTCTCTCTGAGCTTTCTATTTTATTTTTACCTCATCTCATCTATCACTAGAAATAAGAGTCTTCAGGCCATATTCTGATTAAGTCAGCTAGATCTTTTTACCTACTTATTGAAACTTCTAAAGAGATATAAAGAAAATCATTATAGTACTATTTCTTGCTAGACCATCTTAAATATGTGATTTGAAATGTTACTGCTACTATAATGTCACAAGCAATGTCCCTGGCCTACAAAAGCGAAAAAAAAATAAATAGTAGGACAGTGCCAATTTAAGATCAGGGACAAGCCTGTACAATGAGTGTTAGTAGCAAAAAGGTAGGGCAACTAGAATACGGGGGTTCTCATTCATAAAAGTTCAGTCCTTACATACCAAGAAATAAACACCATCTTTCTTTAAAAGAAAGCACTTTATTTTCCATTTAAACAGCTTGGTCACAGTACATTATTTGACATAAATGGCAGTAATCTTTTCCATCTCCATTTAAAAGGCCTTGTGTCTGAGGTCATTAAGAGAATATGTACAAATATAAAAACAGTGCAAAAACATTTAGCACACAGCCTTCAGAGTTGGCTTTGGAAAACCCATTTAGTGTTGTTGGGCCAGTGACCTAAGACAATAATTGTTGTTACATGCCATTGAGTTGCCTGCAACTCATCAGGACCCTATGGACAATAATTACATAATAATTACATAAATATCCTTGGGTTTCCTTTAGTCTAACATCAGATCCAGAAATGGAATCTGATGACAAAGCTTAAAATCCCTAACAATCCAAGCAATCAAATCATCCAGATCACAGAATCACCAGTGAGTGCAACTTGCAAATTATGTAAGATGGCAGCCTGTTGGTGACTCTACCTGAAGAAAGTTTCAGTTACATCAAATTGTAACAGCCTCTTGCTCTAAAATCTTTGCCTTAATTTAAAGTATGAATTTTGAGGGCTAGAGTAGTAATAAGTCATGTGCCCAACTCAGAGTAACTACAACCTCTAGGAAATTTGTCTCCTTTAACTATTAAGTGCTTGGCTGTAGTCCCCCACCCCTCCAAACAAGTGTGAATAATTGTCCATTAACAACAAGCATGATTTAGCTGATTTTTCAGAAGTCTGAATCACAGCAAACATCCAGGAGAACATGCAGAGTTTTATTCAGTACTGTTACTTATGGCTCTCATTCTCTTGTGTCCCCTCTGCAATGTCTTATAGAAAAGTCATAGTTGTTGATGAGCAAGGCAGATTTCAACAGGTGTCTGAAGTATAAAAGTCTTTATAGTCCATTCCTTGTGTGAGGAAATACTTTTTTTTTTTTATTTCAGGCTACCAAACTACGGCTGAAAGTCAGTTGATATTTAAAAAAACAAACTACATGCCAAGTCACTCTCAACCCTCAGCAACCCTACGTATTACAAAGTAGAGTGTCCATATAAACTTACCTACTTTAAAGAAGTTTGATCTCCTAAAACTTTTTTAGATATCCTGGTTAAAACTGTGCTTTTGGATATCATATTTTTGCTTATGTTAATTGGGCTTTATAATTAAAAGCTAATGTGCTACGCAAAGGAAAGATATAATCTGTTAAACAGGTGGTCAGGTTTATGTAGAATCTTACTGGCATCCTATTTTTTGGCAGTGGAAGATTCTGGTATAGAAAATTATCTTTTGCTAAAAATACTACAAGCTACAAGTACCAAGAACTATTGCATAAGACAAAGTTTATCACAATCTTTCTGCTAGGCAGATGGTGCAGTGTAAGACAACAATGACTTGGTTCACCACAGACACACACTATAGGCAGTCTCTGCAGGAAGAACAGGATGCATCGCTGTCTGTCAGAATTTGTAGGTGTGCTGAACAGGTGCATCTAATTCTAATTTTGGTTTCCTTTAGTACAGAAAAAGGTTCAAAGCTTTTCAAGTGATCTCAAAGCTGCATGTGCAAGTGAAGACGATGGTGATGAGTTTGCTGCAAATGGGGCCTGGTTCTATCATTTCAAAGTGAGAGCAAAATTACATAACATTAAAGGACAAGCAGTGGTTGTCCTTAAGTCAGACCTTCATGACCTGCAGGCTGCTTTGTACTTCGATAGCCAAGATTCCCAATGTCCTAAGTACAAACACATGTGGCTGAGGTGAAATGGAGCACAATGACTCCAAAAAGATGCTTATGGCTTCACTGCTGTGTGCCACTGAGTCAGCTATGACTCATAGCGACCCTTTGCACAATAGCTCTGAACCCTGCTCTATCCTGAGCCAATCTCATTGTCTCTGACGTATCTACCCTCACCCCAATTATTGTGTGAATCCATCTCATCCAGGCTCTTCCTCTTCTGCACTGTTGCTTAGGACACATCCCTGACACACTCTTTTACTGATTTTGAACCATGCTGTGTTTCTCTGTGATAAGGCGAAACCAGGCTGTCGTCAGAACAAGTAGGTGTTCTGGGATTCCCATCTTTCTCAAGGTTAGCCATTGTTTGTTGTGATCCACACAGTCAAATGCCTTTTGCACAGTCAGTAAAACAGACAGTCCTCTGGTACTCTAGGCTTCTGGCCAAGATACATCTGATATTGGCAATGATGTCCCTAGTACCAGTGTCTCCTAAGCCCAGCTTATATTTCTGGTAGTTCTCTGTTAATACTATTTCAGTCACTTGTGGATAATCTTCAGCAGGATTTTGCTTGTATGTGATATATGTAATATCGTTCTGTAATTTCCACACTATTGGATCACATTTTTTTTAATGGATAAATAAATATGGATCTCTTCCAGTCAGCTGGCCAGGTGATTGTCCACCAGATTTCTTGGCACAACGTGGTGAGCCATGTCGAGGGCAGCAACTGCTTACTGAAATATGTCAATTGGTAAGCCATCAATTCCTGGGGCCTTGTTTTTTTCCAATTCCTTCAGAGCAGTTTAGACTTCCTTCTTCATCACCATTGCATCTTGAACTTAAATTGTTTTATGAAATATTTCTGTGTCAACCAATTCCTTTTGGTACAGTGACTCTGTGTACTCCTTCCTTCCTTCTTTTGATGGTTCCTGGATCACTCAATATTCTGCCCATAGCATCTTTAAGTATTGCCAACTCAAGGCTTGAATTTGTTCCTCAGTTCTTTCAGCTTAAGAAATGCTGAGCAAGTTCAGCCCTTTTGATATTCAGACTCCAGCTCTTTGCACATTTCATTCTAATACTCTGTTTTGTCTTCCTAAGCCACCCTCTTCCCTTTGCTTTGGCTTCTCGGCACTCTAATGCAATAGTCAGAGTCTCTTCTGACATCCATCTCCGCCTTTGCTTCCTTTGTCTTTGTAATGACCTTTTGCATTCTCCATGGATATTTTTTTTAATGATATTCTTGATAT